CAATTTAGTAACCTATGGAAGGTTAGTAAATGCTATCTCGCAAATTGATTTAGCTAACATTTTAGCATATAAATGATCTTTTGGACTTCTGTTCACATTGATTTGTACAAGTATCCAAATGGGATAGAGATAATACATTCCAATCTATCTCTTTTCCAGCTGTTATCTTTCCCCTAATGTTGAAAACTGATTCATCAAAATGACAATAATCAAATCTGACTGTAAACAAATCTCCTGTCATAGGTTCCAGATATTTAATAATAGAAGGAGATTCATAACCAACATATACTCCCAACCTTCTTAGGGGACCCATCTTTCTATGCTGTGGTGGAGCAATTGGAACATATACCGCACATCTAAAAATTCTAAGATGGAAAATACTTGGCTCTTGACCAAAAGCAACTGTAATTGGGAGACTTAATGATAATTGTTTGGCCTTATGCGCACAAGTGCTGCTGCATGCAAAATAGCATGTCCCTACACTGAAAGGGAAAGTTTTGTCCTTATTAGTAATGATTTATCTATCAATTAGAGACGTTTAATCAATAATTCTGCTAGACCATTGAGCAATCGGATGCTCAACTTTTATTTCAGTAGTCATACAATAATCAGTAAAGGCATGAGATGTAAATTCACTAGCATTATGAAGACGAATTGTCTTAATTGCATAAATCTGAAAATTATGCTCTTAACCTTATTATTTGGGCCAACAATCTTGCAAATATCATATTGTGAGTTGACAATAAGTACACATGTGACCATCTTGTAGATGGGTCTATCAAGATCATAAAATACTTGAATAGTCCACATGGAGGGTGTATATGCCCACATATATCACCCTGTATACGTTCCATAAATGCATGGGATTCAATCCCAACTTTAGCTACTGATAGTTTAATAACCAGTTTTCCTTGAGAACAAGCAACACAAGAGAGTTCTTTAAATTGAAGAATCTTCCTGTTCTTCAATGTGTGCCCATTTGAATTCTCTACTATTCTATGCATCATGTTAGAAACGGGATGTCCCAGCCGGTCATGCCAAATGATAATCATTAGAAGTAGTAAACCTTTTTTTTACTGTGCATGTGATTCAGCCACACCAATATTTGTGTGGTACAACCCACAAGAAAATGAGAGTAATTTTTCATGCACATATTTTTTCTTTTGATAGAGTTTTGATAAAGCCTGACAAAATATTCAGGTGCATGACATTCAATTTTTCAGTGACCTGTCATGCCACAGTGGTGACAGTTACCGCTTTTGCCTCTTGAAGGATTATGTTGAGAACCCATATTGTTCTCTCGTTTTTCATGACCACCACGATGACAATTATTATATCTTCTTTTGTCATTGCCATTCCCACGTACATTCATAGGGCCATGATAATTATTCTATCTTTTTCCAGATTTATCACGTCTCGCTATCATATTTGCTTCACGAATCAGAGCTGACCCTGTGGGACGGGCTTCATGATATTTCACCAAAAGGGTATTGTGTTGTTCAGCCACCAGAAGCCATGAGATCAATTCAAAATATTTTTTAAAACCCCTTTCACGGTATTGCTGCTGTAATACCATATTTGAGGCATGAAAAGTAGTAAGAATATTTTCCAACAAATCATTCATTCATAACATCCCCACATTTTAATTGGGAAGTTATTCGAAATACAACAGAGTTATACTCACGGTCTTAAACTCTTGCAACCGTAGGTGCATCCACTCATATCGAGCCTTTGGCAATACCGTAGCTTTAAGGTGATCATACCTTTCTTTCAAAACAGTCCACAATTCAAATGGATCTTTCATTGTCAAATATTCAACCTTCAAACCTTCATCCAAATGATGACAAAGGAAAATCAGGGCCTTCACTTTGTCCTGGCTTGATGCCTTATTACCCTGAGTAATGGTGTCACCAAAACCTTTAGCGGCTAAGTGAATCTCAACATCGAGAACCCATGATAGGTAATCTTTCCAGAAATGTCAAGTGCCACAAATTCAAGCCTTGACAAATTCGACATAGTAAAAACTATCAAAGAAAATAAATGAATTAGAAATAGTAAAAAGAAATAAACGAAGATATTTTAAAAAAATGGTCAATCTGATCATAATCCTATAAAATAATAACATTAATTGACCAGTTAATCATCATAAAAATACATGAATTAGATATGCCACAATTAAGGCTGACAAGTAGGCCGGGCCCGGGCCTAAACGGGCCTCGCGGGCCGGTCCTATGTGGGCCCGGGCTTCGTGGGCTGGGCTTAAACAGTCCCGGGCTTCATGGGCTTTTGGTAAGAACCGGAACGGGACCGGGACCACGAACTAATGGTCCCGGGCTAAGTGGGTCGGTCCCGGGCCTATGTGGGCCTATGTGGGCATGGCCTATTTTTTTTAAATTTTTTTTATCTAAGGCAATTTTTTGTAAATTATATATATATAGTTGTGACTTAAATTTTGTAATTCAAATTTAAAACACAAAATATTATAAAGAGATATTCAAAGGAATGCGTTATAATTTTTATTATTACGACATTAAAAAAACATGACAATATCTTTCTTAGTCTTCCTCCCCCCAATGGAATGAGCACAACAAGGTGCTAATACCACCATTGAGAAGAAAAAGAAACTAATCTAGATGTGCCAAAATACAAGTTACATATTAGTTTATATGGTATCTCTTACAAATTTCATAAATCCTTCAAGGTTCGGAGGAATTTCCGTTGGTGGTGGGGTTTCTATATTCATATGCAACAGCTAAACTTTCATACATGTAATTCCATCTAGTTGGACAAGGTTTAGGAGCCTTTCTTTCTCTTAGGCCAAATTCATCGCATCTTTTAAAATATTCTCTAAGTCTACTTCTACGGCTTGAATAAAAAAGCCAGTGAAGAGCCATTTTAACCTTTTCAATTTTAACATTTAAAATTCTCATACCATCACCCACAATTAAATGGTAAATATGACAAATACATCTAACATGAAAAATGTCACTACATGCAGGATTTAGTGTAGTGGTAAGCAACGCTACAACATAAGTGTTACTAGTAGCATTATCCATTGAAATTGACATTATTTTATCACTAATGCAAAAATATCTACAAATATCCGTAACCGTGCTAGAAATAAACTGCCATGTGTGACGTAAATTAATTATTCTATAAGCAATAATGCGCTTTTGCATTATCCAGTCCTCATCAATCCAATGACTGGTAACAGTAAGATAATCACAGTCATTACCACTTCTACCAATATCAGTAGTAATAGCAACACGATAATTAATATGAGTAAATAAATAGCGTAAATATTGTTCATATTCATGTTTATATATATAAATATCGCTCTTTACGGTTGTGCGAGGCCATCCTTATAAGTAGGATTAAAAGCTTTTCTAATATAATGCACAAAGTGAGGGTTAGACGGAAAATTGTAGGGTAAGCACATAACAGTAACCATTTTTGTCAATTCTTCCTTATCTTTTTTTGGGTCATAATATAAAATACCACCGGTAATAGTGTTAATTCCCGGTTGAAATTGATTTGAACCGGTACTAGGATCAGGCTGACTAGGTAGACTTGTCCCCCCGACCGCAGCTTTCATTTGAAGATATTTAACTTTATCTTGAGGGTGTATCATTATTTGTCTCCTAAAACTTCCCGTCACCCCCCGAGTAACATAGTTAAAAGCTAACTCTTTGCCACAAGTTTTACATTTAGCTTTATTCTTTTTTCTTATTTGAATAAAAAATGGCCAAACAAGAGATGTTTCGGCCCGTTAGAAGGTTGTCTAGAAAAAGTAGGGGTAGTAACAGGCGGGGGGGGGGGGGGGGGGTTCAGACGGGGCATCATTTGGATTAGTTGGGTTAACTTCAGCAACAGGACTAGTGGGTGTATCGTCATCCGATTGCGTTTCATCCAAATCTATTTCCTGCTCATCTTCTTCATCAATAGTTGAATTACCATAAAGGGAATTCATATATTCATGATCTAAGTGTTCACCACCTCCAACATTATGCACATATTGACTCTCAGTAAATTGTAATAAAGTATTATCACTATCAAGAATAGGAGCAGGTGGAGGGCGGGTATGGGGTTTGGGTAGGGGAGCCCGGAGAATTAGAGGAGGAATAGATTGGCCACTAGATTCACCACTCTTGGATTTCCCCTTATTTTTACTAAATATTTTTTTTAAGGAATAGGCAATCTTAATTATAATTATACAAAGTAAATAAAACAATCAAAACTATAATATTAAAACTAAAGAGTTGGAACGAGTTTACCGAATTAACTAACAACTTGTTGAAAATTAATTATCGTTGAAGACTTGAATACTTCATTTCACCAACTTCATAATTTTTCACACAAATTGCAACAATAAAGTAACCAATTATAGTGGAAAATTAGAGAGAGATTGATGATTTTGTGAGAAAATTGAAAGAATGAGGGGGTATTTATAGTTGAAAATAGGGAAAAAGTATAATTGTAAAAGTTTTGGGTTAAAACAAAGTTGGGGGGGTTAAATGGCTATTTTAAAAAGCCCAAACATCTATTTTTGCAGGCCAACGGCCATATTTTAAATGTTGCAACGGTTAGAAATTTTTTTGGAATTTCTTTTTTCTTTTTAAAAACAAATAGCCGTTGGGCCCGTTTAGGACCGGTTGAACCGGCCCATTTAGCACCCGGTCCTGGGCCCAAACGGTCCGGTCCTCGCGGGCTTCTTCAAAGAACCGGCCCACTTAATAGGCCCACCCCTGGTCCCGGGCTTAAACGGTTAGGCCCGTTTAGGCCCACTACCCTAATAGGCTCGCGGGCTTGGGCCGGTCCCGGGCCTAACCGGCCCACATGCCAGCCTTAGCCACAATAATAAAATATGAACATTAGTGCTTATATGAACTAACAAGATTACCTGGTCTAACTTGTACATGCATGTACAAGTGGTAATAATTCTTTATATATATATATATATATATATATATATATTCGAAAGCCATTAGTCATAAGGAAAGAATACAAAGATATGATAGAAAAAAAGGAAGTCATTTGATAGTGTTTACCTTGAAAATGGTAATTACAATTAAATTTGATTTTTTGGTTCTAAAAATACGTGATTTATTTTAGTGCTAGTTGTTAGGTGATAGATGTTAAGTGTGAGCTAGAAAAGTAAAGTAAGAGTGAGAGGTAGTGTCGTTATTCAAACCGAACAGCGGTGAATCGGGGCCTCGAGCTAGACTAAGCCGGGCCTCAGGGTCGGGCTAAAATGCCTGATTGGGAATGGCCGATGAAGAGCTAACGGTTCTGAGATCCTTGATGGTGGCTCTTTATGATCAATGATGAGTAATAAATGAAGAACAATTAATAGAACACAATAAATGTAAACAATAAAATCAAAGGAGAGACAATGGAGAATGTTTAAGTTAGAGAGCAGAGAATGTTCTTGTTCTTGTATTGAATATCATGTACGCAAGAAATGACAAGGGTCCCCTTTATATAGGAGGGGGGATCCCAACATAGTACAGGTACATTTATTACAAATATTACAAACATATGCGGATGGTACATCGATTTATTATAAAGATATGCGACTGGTACAGCCATTTAATGTCACGGTACGGACTTGTACTATTCTTGTAGACCTGGTCAGCTCTAACCACGTGCTTTGGGGATTTTTCGCTTGTCCATCACAACCATCGATTTGCACTGCCCCGAGGTCGAACATAGGGAACCCTCGGGGTCAAACCTCGAGTAGTTCCTCGAGCCTTCTAGAGACGGGCTATGGAGCGTCATAATGATCATAAAATTGGACTCTCCGATTTTAGCCATATACAGATAGTCCCCGCGTTTCTTAGAGTAAAAATGATAAGAAACGGCCTTGAATTCTTGCCTCTTCGATATTTCCATCATGACGTCAGCCTGTCAGAGCATTAAATGACGTGACTCAAAGGCTGCGCAGAGGTCGCTGTCAGCACGATCATCGAGAAGCCCACGAAATGTTATTGGTTCGACTCTTCCGCTTCTCAAACGTTGCCCAAACGGCTTCTATAAGTACCTCAACTGTTTTTCATTCACACTTTTACAATATCTTCAAGTTTTCAGAGCTAAGTTCACCACTTTCTGCATTCATCTCTTCTCTGTGCTTGCCTCTTCATCTTCTTTCTTAGAAATTCAGTTGTAGTTATGGCTAAAAACTCCAAAAAGGTACCTCAGAAAGAGGGTACCACTTCTTCATCACGTCCGTCTAAGGGCAAACCAAAAATACCTCCAAGTATCGAGCAATGTACCCCTGGCCACTTCGATACGGTGTCCGATTTTACCATTGAAAATCCCCCTTCTACACCGGGCCGATGCGAGCCCATGTCTCGGTACATCAGTGTGGTGACCGACATGAAGAGGGTAAAGATAGACTGCAAATGGGGGGAGGTAGTGCAAGTAGAGATCCCCAAACCTGAGGAAAGTATAGTAGAACACAAAGTTGGCTTCCTCAGCGTATACATATACCCTTTCACTCTAGCTCCCGTAGATTCTTCTTCACCGTCGATAGATCTGGTGATCCTTGACTTTTGTCGTGAGTACCGAGTGACACTCGGTCAGATCTATCCTTCTTTCTGGAGGATTGTTTACATGCTCAGATATTTCTCCAACCGGGTCGAGGGAATGACCTTCACCCTCGATCACCTGGTTAGATTGTACAGCCCCCGTCTCTTCCGAGGTTTAATCAAGCTTCACCCTCGACCCGCCAAGACATTCTTTGCGAGCATCGATGAAGACAAATATCGGGGATGGATGAGCCGATTTATCAGAGTAAGAACCTCGGACATCATCCCTGTTGATAGGATGCCATTCCCAGAGGAATGGAACATGAAGCGTAAGTGTCCCTACCTCGAATAGATTTTGTTGCCCCTTCTTCCCCTTCTGAAATGATCTTCTTTTGATTATGTAGCCACCGTTTGGTACCCCGGCACGGTTCAGGACATTCCGAGATGGATCAGATAATTAGACTCTGCTTTTCCTTACAGCGAGCGTGTTTAGCGTGATTTGGCCAAAACGTGGTGGCAGGCCAAGAACCATGGTATGCTTTTGTTGTTGTTATTACCAAGTTCCTTACGAGTATTCTTCGTGGCGGTAAGTTTAACACATTATGCCTGTGCGGGGAAGGCGTGTCGATGAGATCGGCTCCTCCTGGTGAGGAAGAAGCCTCAAAAACCCCGGCAAGGGTAAGAAGAGGAAGAAGGAGGCGTCGACCGAGTCTCCAGATCAAAGAACCCAAGGTCCGCAAGCNNGGGGGGGGTCTTTGTAAAGAGACCCTCTGTAACTGTATTTTTGGGAATGCAAAAAGATTCCTCTGCTTCAAGTCTTCAAATTTTAATTTTTAGTGCTTGTGCAAAGTTAATCTTTGAATTTTGATGTCGGCTCTTTGGAGCCCATACTTGTGATAACAGAGATCCTCGAGATCGGGCACATCTTGAGGCTCGATCGATGTGGGGATCTCGATAGCTCTCGAGCGCTATATGACGGTGTCATTCGTATGACATGACCGCGAAGTGACCGGGGTGGTCCCACCGGTACACTTCCCAAAAAGTGGTAATGGCATGGTCAGAATTAATTGGCCTTCAGAATAGGCGAACAGTCGCCGCTTGCTCTATATGTGTATCTGCTTTCTTCTTGTTTGAGGCTTCCGCTACTTCGCGCAACTATTCCTTTTATAGAGCTCTCCTTCCTTGCGTCAGTTCTTTTCCTAATTTTAATTCAGAGCTTTTGCTTGAGTTTTCATCTCCCATTCCTTGTTTCACCATAGTTATGGCTGCTACGCCCAAATCCGTTCACCAAGAAGAAGAGATTTCCGCCTCTGTTTCCTGCCCGATCGGTGGTACACTGCCGGTGTCCGGTGAGCTAACCTCGAGATGCTTTGTCTCAAGGAGGGACTTTACGTTAGAGAGACCTCCCAATGTTTAGGGCCATTGGGAGCATGCGTCGAGGTTCATCTCATCAATAGGAGAGGAACACCTTGAGGAAGTTAGGAGAAACTGCGGATGGGGAGAAAAGACGGTACTGCAGGTACTCTCCCCGAAAGAGAGCATCACGGCTCATGTAGAGGGGTTTTTGAATGTATACACGTACCCCTTTACATTGGGCCCTCTCGATAGAGTCGTGCTTGAGTTTTGTAGAAGATATCGGGTTACCCTGGCACAGGTTCACCCATCGTTTTGGAGGATAGTTTTGATGATAAGGTTCTTTGCAGATAAAGTCGGGCTCGATTTCACCCTCAGCCATCTCATTAGATTGTATCGGCCCTTGCATTACCGAGGCCTGATTATTCTACGATGTCGTCCACCCGACCCTTTGTTGCCAGTAACAAAGAAGACGGGGACCGAGGGTGGATGAGTCTATTTGTCCGAGTGCGGACTACTGACATTATTCCCGTAGAGTTCCTGCCATTCCCTGAGAAATGGAATTTCACACGTAAGTGGTACACTTGTGCTTTTGTAATCTTTGTTCATAGTGGAGGCAGATTCCGTAACGGTGTTTTCTTTCCCTTTACGCAGCAATCCCGTGGTTGCCATACGAGGCCCCCCATCTGGCGGATTGGACTCGGAAACTGGCAGCTTGCTCGACCTACAATGAGCGTAAGTGGCGAGATTTGTCGAAGGGAAGATGGGAGGCAAAACATCACGGTGAGTACCGTGTGATTCTTCTCTCTAAGGAATATTTCCCTATGTGTTTCCTAACTTCTTTACTGCAGGCATTGGAGAATTTTTCGAGGTGAGGCCATGCTCTCTCGGAGAGGAGGGAGGATCATCGGCTTCATGGCCGAAAAGCGATAACAAGCGCAAGGAATCCTCGGCAGGCGAAGAGATTTGCAGCGAGGCAGGGTCTGCCCGAAGGCAAAAAGGAGAGGAAACCATTGAGGTAGATCATGTACCTATCGGCCTTCGTGTGGACATTGGTGCAATAGAAGGGAGCGGCCACACATCGATGGCT